CTCCCCTTCTTTCTCTTAAGTTGCCCACACTATGAGGATGGCAGTCCTGCAGGATCTCTGTTACTGAGAGGTGCTTTCCAGTGGGGGACTGAAATCTCACAAAAGTACATTTATGGTCAGTATTATAAATGTGTTAGACCTGTCAGAAGTCATGCGTATAAAATGCACCATGAAAACTGAGACAAGAAAGTCTTTGTTCTTAGATGGGGTAAAAATTTCACATTTTAAATCAAGATAGAAAAGAAAACACAAAGATAATCTGTGCTGGAATAATTGCCAGAGTTGTTCACTAACTATTTCTGATTCTATTTCTGGACACTTGTCAACTGATATGGAGGTAATTGGAGCCATGTGATTTGCTTTAGTCATTGAAATGTGAGCGACATGACACATGGCACTTCCAGATGGGAACCAGGGCACAAGTCAACATGTTCCTTTTCCTCTGCTTCCACAATCATGGAGGATGAGCCTACTTTGGCCTGGATCCCTGAGTGAGGACAATGAAGAGAAGTACCCCAGCTGATACACATGGATATGTTGCACCTTTGTCTTAAGCCACAGTGATTGAGAGGGAAGTGTGTTACTGCAGCTTATCCTGGTCTCTCCTGATTTTTGTGAGCAGTTTGACAATTGTCCATCACCTTGCAGAGAAATCACACCCAGGTATGCCATGCCCCTCTACCATCAAGCATGTAGATTATCAGGGTGACCTTGGACTTGCAGACAGACCTGGTCTGTCACATACAAGATCATCAATCATCAAAATTTTGGCTAGGAGGACACAGGCAGAGGGGGTTTTATAGAGTGCACCCTATTAAGGGAAAGGGGTGGTACAGAGCAAGAAAGGGGGCACTGAGGCTGCATCAGGTTAGGGGTGACCTGAAATAATAGAAGGAATTGGCCCGAATTCTCTGCCCACATTTGACAAGGAAAAACAAGGAGATAAGTGGCCACATACCTAGTTCAGGCATAGAAGAAATTGTCGGGCATGTTACAAAGGTCATGGCCCTTCTTTTCAATTCTTGTAAGTTGCACAAAGGATAGTAGTGATCTAGGATTGTTTTGGAGGCACTGCATGAACAGATCAAATTTTGCCTATTTGTTGTAATCAGTTTTTCCACCACTGTGACTAACAGACCTGACAAGAACAATTAGAGGAGGAAAAGTTTATTTGGGGGCTCATGGTTTCAAAGGTCTCAGTCCATAAAAGGCTGGCTCCATTCCTTGGGGCTCGAGGTGAGGCAGAACATCATGGCGGAAGAGTGTGGTGAAGGAAAACAGCTCAGGACATGATGATCAGGAAGCAGAGAGAGCTCTGCTCTGTAAGAACAAAATATAAACCCCAAAGGCATGCCCTCAGGGACCCACCTCTTCCAGCCACACCCTACCTGCCTGAAGTTATCACCCAGCTAATCCCTCTCAGGGGATTAATGCACTGATTGGGTTAAGGCTCTCAGAACACAATCATTTCACCTCTAAACTTTCTTTCATTGTCTCACACGTGAGCTTTTGGGGAACACCTCATCTCTAAACCATAACACCTGTCTCCAGCTGTCTGGTAGGAAAAAGCCAAATGCCACATTCCAGAATGTCAGGGTACCTAGATGGTCTTTGGCCTCCTTGGTGAGCAAACCTGTGGTCTTGCAGGTCATTCAGGAACTTGGGTATAAACGACAGATGGCCAGCCTAGCTATCTCTGTTTTTTCTTTTCATTTTTGTTTCTATGTAGGATGGTGCCAGCAGCTTCCTACCTGTCTTGGATCCCATTGGGAACTGACCTGGGGCCCCCTCCCTGTCAGTACCACAGGGGTCCTGAAAAGATGGCTGGTTCTAGCAGCAGTCACTTCTCTGCTTCTCTACTGAAGATCCCAGGGTCTTCCCTACAGAGTCAGCATGTGGCTGGGGCCTCATGGTTAGAAACAAATAGAACAGATCTATCTTGCACTTCTCCCTGGCTCATAGTCCTGTGGTCTTGGAGAAAGCAAAGGATGACAGAATGAGGCAGTTACAGGTGAGCTCAGGACTGCCCCCTTCCTATGCTAGGCTGGGTCTCTCTGCTGGGCCAACCCCAAATCTTCCAAGGAGGTCCTACAGAGGCCAGTGCCTTCTTTATTTCTCTTCACAGTCCATGAAGACTGTGATAGGTCTCTGCAAAGTAGTGACTTTTAACAGGACCTTTAATGGCTCAGAGTAAAAAATGTGCACACTGTTGATTCAGTCCCTAAGCTGCACGCAGGGAGAAGAATGCTGTTCTGGAGCCTCAAGGAAGGCAGCCAGGGAATGGGCAGAGCTGCAGGCCCAAAGTCTGAAATCTAAGGGTGACTCCTGTTCTGCCTGTCCCGGCTGGGGGTCCCCAGAAAGTCAGTGAACTCCTGATCCTGAATCCACACTTGGGTATGGGAACAACGATGTCTGAATCTAGGCTGTGGTATAACATATGACAGGTCTGGGACAGTGTCTGGCATGTGATAAGCATGCAGCAAATCAGCTGTCCTCTCTGAAGCCGCAGAGGGACTGGGATGGGGAAGGGAAAGTGCTGGATGAGGAGGGGCCCATGTGACCACATTCCAGCACTTAGACCCTTTCCCAGGGACACTCAGCTTGAGAAAAGGTTGAAGAAGGGTTTTACAAGGGAAATTATGTTCTGTTTGCTCACTGAGGACAAGGGCCCAGAGTGTGGCAAAAGGGATTTAGAGAAGAATCTCAAGTGGGTGGTGGCAGAGGTCATTTCTGGGTGCATGGAGAGAGCAAAAGGAGAAGATGCCAGCCACACAGGAAAACACCCAGGCCAGCTGTCAATGCCCATCTTGATGAGCAACCAGACCAGCAGCCTCAGCATGGATGTGACCCACAGAACTGTGACATGGACCATACAAACCTCACTGAGGTCTACTTCCCACTTGTATCCCAGCCTAGGGTCTGGTGATCTGGATCATGGCCACAGCACCCATTCCCAGCAGCCAGAAGCCGTGGAATAGGCTTGTCCCCAGTTCTGCCTCCAAAACTCGGCAGCAACATTCCCACTAGTCCAGTGCTGGCCTGTGGGCAGGAGATCAGGATGGGGGTAGAGGGTCTCATGGACCAGTTGCATGGGTAGAGAGGTAAGGGGGAGAATCACTGAGGATGCACACAGTGTAGGCAAAGGCCAAGTGGACTGGGTTTCTGCACACATGCACACACCACCTATGCCAGCAATCAGACCTCCTGGGGTCAGGTGAGAGCACTGAGGCCAGGGAAAATGAGGAAACCCGCTAGAAAACCTTTCCATCACAGGGAGCCGCCCAAAGAAAGAGATAACAGCTGTGAGGTTTACCCATTTTTATTTTTTATAAAACAAGCTACAAATAGTTTCCCTCCCACCCTCCCTCCCTCACAAAGGAAAACCACGCAACACGGCCTGTGCACAAATGTGAGAGAGAAGGTGGCTGGGAAGAGTCTGCACTCCTACAAGGAGGCACCTTCTCCGTGTGTGCATGCTTCCTCCAGCCAGCAAATGAGGCTGGGGTCTCCTGCAAGGTCCATCCAGCTCCAGCATGCTGTTTTCTGGTCGAGGTTGTAGGAGAGGGCTTCTGTTTCACTTTACCAGGTCAGGACAGGGCCAGTGACTGTCCCCGAGACAACCTCTATGACTTTCTTCAGTACAGCAAGAACTTTCTCTAGCCTGAGACCCCATCAGATCCAGTCCCAAGAGGCCACACTCCCTCACTAGGGAGTGCTTTGGGGGCCAATGCCTTCCAGACCCAAAATGGAAAATAGTTTGCCAAGACAGGTGCACTTAGGGAATGGAATACAAGATAGATCCACCCAGGATGAAATACAAAATGAGGCCAGATGGCCAAGAGCAATTGGACGAGGGCACCAGTCCTGGGCTACGGTACGTGACAGCCCTCACCGTCACCACATTTGCCCATGGGAAGAGGTGCCAAGTATCACTTGCAGCTCTGAAGGCACATCAACTGGGCAGAGGAAGCTGGGCATCTGCCCCAAGGGCTGGGCAGCCCATCTGGAATCCTGGTAGCATTCTGGAAAGGTATACCTGGATTCCCATAACTGGTCATTGTTCCTGCCCTTCTGGGCAAGAAAGAAGTTGAACACCCAAGATCTGCTTTACTTCTGGAAATGACTTATAGGCCTGGGAGCTTGTGATAATCACTGAGGACCACAGTGGGAGGAGAGAGGAGGTAAAAACCCAAAGTGACCTCAAGGGTGAGAGCCACGCTCGGGAGCCTCATCTGGGAGCCTCATCTGCGCGTGGCAGGAGAGCGGGCGTCCCATTGCCCGGGGGGCCTTCTGTCTTCTTCCCTGGGTTTCTCAGGTATCAAACATACTAAATAAAAGGCCCAGCGGTACATCCTTTTTCTTCTTCACCTCCCTCCTCATGCACTACACAGAGTAGGTGCTAAATCCATATGGAATGTTTAAACTGACCTAATGCAAATCCTCGGAGGATAATTTGCTCAGTGAATCACTAAGAGACCAGGGTGCCCATTGATCCTGGGCTCCTGGGGATCTGTTAGCAGGAACACTTGGGCCATGTGAGAACTGGGGCTGTGATGACTATTCACATCATCTGGACTTCCCTCCTCTCCGGGGCGATGCCTGTCTCTCCAACTCAGCCTCCCTTGAGAAGGCCAAGGGCCGGGTGACTTGCCAAGTTTGACAGCTAATGGCATGGGGCAGTACATTCCTCCCATCTGATGAGAGCCAGTGGCATTTGCAAAGCAAGTGCAGAGCTCTTGTCCACGGACACACAAGGGCCGGCCTCCATGGAATCTGGGTTGGAAGAAGACAGAGTCCTAGGTTCTAGATAGGTGGACTGAAAGTCTAGAGCACCCACATCTGGGAAAAGGAGGGGAAGGAATCAACAGCAATGTCAACGCCTGTACAAAAGAACTATACAATTTACATATATATTTATATACAGTATATAAATCTCTTTCTTCTCAGTCCCAACAACACCCCTCCCCCCAGTAACCTAAAAGTTGTCAGTAGCAGATCCAAAAACTTACGATGAGAGAGAGAATCAAGTCTTTCTTCCCTTTCCTCTTCCCACTTGGTATTAGATATTGGTTGTTTACAAATGAAACCAGAAACAAAACACGTAAAGAAGAGTTATTAAAAGTGCAAACATGGTGGGCACCACTTATGTTACACGGGATGTTGCTGGCCACGGGCCGCGCTGAAGGTTAGTTAGGTGTCTGGTGGTCCATCTTGCCTCCTTGGACTTTCCACCGCCCTTTGATTCTCTGCTCCTTAGACAAGGCGTCCTACTGGGAGGGGGAAAGGAGAGTGCAAAACAGAAGAGGGGGAGAAAAATTAAAAAGAGTGGGATATCTGAGAAATTCAGCTACGTCTATCAATTTCCCCCACAAGGGTAGCTCCTTCCACCCGCTGTTGGAGATGGGCTGCGGGTGACACAGACTTGCCTTAGACTTGCAGATAAGCAGTTTGACAGCCCATCCTTTGCCACTCTGAGGCGGCCCAGGTCACCTAGAATGGGTCCAGCACTCCAGAGACCTTGGCTTTGCCTGGGGAGCACAGGCTGGGGGTGCACTCTGCACGTATCATACCACCCCCAGAGGCCAGCCTGTCAGCCTGGGGCTGGAGAGGAAATGGCACAATGATTTATCCTCTTAGCACGAACCATCTTTCTCTCATGTCCTCAGCAAAAATTTTTAAAATGAAGGCCAAGTCACTGGGCCAGTGGTGTCACCCCTGCTGTGCCATCAACACTTCCTCAAGGGATCCACAGAGAAAGTAGAAAGCTCAGAAAGAAGGAGACTTACTGAATGGGTTTGAGCCTGCTGGTTTCCCCTGGGGGAAGCTGTCAAGGCTACCTGCAACAAATAGGAACACAGGACACTGGAGTGGCCTTGACCCAGAGAACTGGGTCAACTTCTATACTGGGTCCTTGCCCTCTATAACCCCAAATGAAAGATGAACTTGGGATAAAGCCAGAAGTTGTCTGTTCTGTGGAAGCCTATGGTCACATTCTGCCTAGGTGAACCCATTGCTGGTCAGCACCTTTAACCAAGGTCACTTTTTCCCTAAGGCCAAGGCCCTGTGGGGCCCCCTTTGGAGCCTCCTCAGCTATTAGCCAAGAAGGGTTTTTGTGTTAGTGAACGTTTTTGTGTCATAACCTCCTTGATCTTACTTTCCAAATCACGGAATGTCAGAGACAGAAGGAATCCTGGTCTTTCCCTTGACACATTCGGAGGCAGAAGCTCAGAGTGGTTGAGTGGTTTATATGAGTCCAAGGCCTGTTCTGCTCACGTGCACTCTTCCCCCTAGGTGCCAAGCAGCTCTGGAGACAGGCTGTGCCTGCTCCTGTAGGATCCTGGTCTCCCCAAAGAGAAGCAGGGAGCTGGGGAAGCACACGAGGTGCTGAGCCATGCTGAGTGGCCCTGGATCTGCCCAGAGAATGGAAATCAGGACCGCAGATGTGCTGATTCTGTCCGGCCTCCTTCACAGGATTGCCCTCAGGGTTGACTGAATTCTTAGGGGAGAAAGTGTTTGGGGCAATGGACAGTGCTGTAGAATCTAAGCCCAACTGTGGGTCATGTGACCCCATAGCTCAATGTCCCCAATATTCCTCAAGACCTGAGAAAGAGACAAAGCACAAGGTAAAGGGGTGGGCACCATGTACATACTGGCATATCCAATTTAGTAGGAGAGGACATCAACAGAAATATAGAGGGACAGGCCCAAGGCAGATGGGTGGGAAGGGGAGAACCAGGCTGCCTGGCCTTAGATCCCATCCTTCCTCTGCTCCAGCAGCTGCTCCTCTCGGTGTTGAACAGAAAGATCCACACACAGAGAGGAGGCCAACAGCAGTCCTGCACCGACTGAGCTGAGACTCAAGACACACAACGTACAGTCAGAAATGTGCCATTGGATCCTCAGAGCAACTTTAAATGATAGTAATAAAATTATCCCCATTTTCTGATGATAAAACTGAGACCTGGAGTTGCCAAGTAACCTACCCAGGATGGCACAACTTTCAGGTAAGAAAGTGAACTCAGACCTGGATCTCAGCCTCTGGCACCATGCTCCGGCCCACCAGGCAAGGCAGGGGAGAGGAAAGGCTGAGCCCAGGGGCAGGTGACAACCTCAGACAATTTAAAGAAAGAGTTGACATTACTGGAACATGGAGGCACTAGTTTTCCTTCTCTTTGCTCACAGAATGGTGACAATAATCCTGGTGACAATATTCCATCATTTGGAAAAGGCCAAGACAGAGGCTCCAGCCTTCAGAATGTCTGGCTTTTTCATGCTGGGCAGAGAATTCAGCTCTTTAATGAGAGATCTGGTTGGTGAAAATAGCCATGTTCAGGGGACATTTCTAAAGGTCCCTCAGACCCCAAAGTATACTCGTTCCCAAGCCCAGCATCTGCTCCCCACCCCTCTTGTACCCACTCCTAGCATGCAAGCCCCTTTTGGCCCACCAGAGGGCACCACATGACACCATATGATAGGGGAAGGGGCTCCATTCCCTGGGATGGCTACAAACTATGGACCCAAGTGGCTTTTCTGCCACCCACAAGAACAGCAGGACAGGAGAAGCTGGCTGCTGCGTCTTGAGCCCCTAGGTGGGCTCCTCTAGCACTACTAATCTCTTTTGTGTGTTCACCATGTACCAGGTGCCGTGCTGTTCCTCACATGCATTAACTTGTTATATCCTCACACCAAATCCATAAGGAGGATACTACTGTCTCCATTTTGCACACGAGGAAACTGAGGCTTAGAGAGTTTGGGTGATTTGCCAGAAATTACAGAGCTAGTTAAGTGGAAGAGCTGGGATTAAGAGCCAGGACCTCCACTCCTCTCCTAGGCCTAAACAGTCATCCATCCTCCTGTCTCCCTAGTGAATTGAGGAAGCAGAAAGATACATTGAGCCATGACAACTGCAACCCAAAGCACCCTATGGGCCTCTGTGGGCAAAGTTGTGAAGATGACTTGAAATTAAAACCCATCCCTGACTGAATCGGACCAGCACTCCCCTAAATACTGTGTTCTGGCCCAGAGTTTTCCCCGAATGTTCCTTCAGGTGCTAGGCATCAACAGTGACTGGGAGACGTCTGGTGCCTAGACTACCTTCTGAGGATCCCCTGAGCTCTGGGCACCACATCAGGCCTTCTCTTGGCTTCTTCTCTGGTTGCACAGAAAAGAACTCCCAACAAGGGAAGGAGACCAAGAACAGAATCAGTCAACCTGGAGGTGCTCATGGGTCGACCTGGGGTACCACTAGTGCTGGACGGGGTCTTTCTAGCACTGGACTTCTGCCTGTGCTCTGTGAAATGAGCAGATTCTAAAGATGTCTGAGCATGATACTGTCACAAGGAGCAACCCCTCTCCATCCATCCATTCATTTGACAAGGATTTAAGGAACTGCTACTAGATGTCATATGTTAGAGGTTAGGAATAGAAAGGACAGAGTCCATAGCCATAAGGAAGGAATCATAAAAGTAAATTGCAACCCAGTGTGTTAAGTACTATTGGCAGAGGCAATAATCTTATGAAGAAGAATATTAATATTGACCTTTTATTCTGCTCCTTCACTGTCTTGGGCCCTATGATAAATGCTCTCACTTTGTCCCATTTAATGAGCACAACAGCCCTAAGAGGTAGATATTATCATTATTCCCATTTTACAGATGAAGAAACCAAAACACAAAATGGTGGATTAATATACATTTGATAAAAGAGCTAGTCCATGGCAAAGGCAGGATTGGAAACTCTCATGTTGTATTGTGACGTGGAAAATTGGAGTACGGTGGAAACCAGAGAGCCATCTTCACCAGATAGAATGTGCCCAGAGTGAGGATGTCACTCACCCACGTCACAGGCCAGTTGGCCTCAGAACCAGAACCAGAGCCCAGCTATGGAGGAGCAGGTCCCAAGACTGGGCTTCTTGTGGTAACCCATGCCACTTTTGGAGTTTACATTGACAACCGACGAACAAGGAGCTCTTTTGTCTTCTTATGCTAAACTTTCCCTAAGTAATCTCAGCTTTTCCATTTCCCAAAAGTCTGTATCACCCAAATCTATCTTCAGTGCAGACCTTTCCCCTGCTCTACAGACCCACTCAGGCCTTAGGTGCATCCAACAGGATCTGTCCAAACCATACCCTCCTCCTACACCCACTTTCTCTTCCTTCCTTGTTGCCTATCTCAGTGAGCAGTCCCACCCTGTAGGTGCCCACACCAATTGTTGGCCTTGTGTCCACTCAGTCACCAGTCCATCCACTTCTCTTCACCCCCCTGTGTTTTTCATAACGAGGTTCTCCATCACTTCTTGCCCAGACCATGCCACACCTCCTCTTGGGTGACCCTGCCTTTCTCCAATCCATTTCCCATAGTGCAGCCGGAATAAAATTTTAAAGCAAAACTGATTCTATAATTTGTCTGACTGAACCTCTTCAACAGTGCTGTGGTTTAGAAGTGAGGTGTCCCCCAAAAGCTCATGTATGAGATAAGACAAGAAGGTTTAAAGGAGAAATGATTGGGTTATAAGAGTCTTAATACTATCAGTGGATTAATCCCCTGATGGTATTAACTGAGTGGTGGCTGAAGGTGGGTAGGGTGTGGCTGGAGGAGGTGGGTTCCTCGGGGCATGGCTTTGGGTTATATATTTTATATCTGGTGAGTGGAGTCTCTCTCTGCTTCCTTATCATGTGAGCTGCTTCCCTCTACCATACTCTCCTACCATAATGTTCAGCCTCATCTCAAGCCCTGAGGAATGGAGTCAGCCTTCTATGGACTGAGACCTCTGAAACCATGAGACCCCAAATAAATTTTTCCTACTCTAAAGTTGTTCTTGTCAGGTCTTTTAGTCACAGCAGTGAAAAAGCTGACTAAAACAAACATCTTCCCACTGCCCTTATAACATCTTTCATGCTCTCCAAACTACCTTGCCTCTTGTCACCACTCCCTACAGTTGGTATGGTCTAGTGGACTGAGTTCCAGCAAATGAAATATGAGAAGTAATGCATATGTCATTTCCAGGACTATCCCATGAAACTATCACATGCACTGTTCCATGTTTACTATATCTGGTTGACTGGGAATAGAGGTGACCCCCAGGGTGACCTTGGAAGCCACATGATAAAGATGGATACCAGTGACCCCAAGAGTCACTCTCAGCCTGGACTCCAGAGTAATTACATAGAGCAATCCCCACTCTAATCCTTCCCCCTACCACCCCTCCAACACACACACACACACACACACACACACCCCACAACTCGGAACCATGCTTCACAACATACAGACAGATGGACACACACACACACACACAATTTGGAACCATGCTTCTCAAGACAAAACATTTTCTAAGTGAGCCACATGACATGTGGGTGTGCCTACTTGTTACTGCAGCCTGACCCACTCTAATATATTCTCAAAGCACTTACCACAATACACATGAATACTTAATATCTGTCTCCTCAGTAGACTATGTAAGGTTAGGGACCTAATTAGTCTATTCAACCCCTGTATCAATCATCTAGCATGAAGCACAGGATAGTCCCAGTAAACAGCTTTGTTCAATAAATGAATATCTGGAATCTGAAAACCCTTAGGGTCCCTTGTCTGCCTACAGCAAGAACCAGAAGACTAGGAGCCGAGGGGAGAGCACTCACCTTCTTTGCTGACACCCAGGCAACCCTTCAGCTCAGGCAGTGAGATAACCTTGTCCTTGTTCAGGTCACAGTAGTCGGTGAAACGCCGGGCGCATTTCTTGGGCTTGGCTTTCTTCTTCACGTAGCGCTTGAAGGGCTTCATCTCCCGCTTGTTGATGTCATTGCTGCTGTTGCTGTCCAGCTGACTGAAGTACCAGTGTACCACTCGCTCCTCCAGGGTATGGCTGGGGTCTGGCTCTGAGAACCTGGACACACCCCACCCCGAGAACACCACTCAGGATCTTGTAGGAACACCAACCCCACCGTAGTTTTCTCCAAGATGGCCAGAAGCCAGGGCGCTTGCTGTGGTTTGAGTGTGCTTTGTCCCCGCCAAAACTCAGGTTGAAATTGGTTACCAATGTAGCTGTGTTGGGGGTTAAAGGTGGGACCTTTAAAACCTGGAAATGGGACCTTAAAAGCTCAAGGGACTGGATTAGTTCTTGTGGGAATGGGTTAGTTCTCCTGAGGGTGGGCTGTTATATGCTTTATAACATGGGCCTGCTTCCATTAAGCTTTCCCCCACGAGTTGAAGTTGTATGAGGCCCTCACTAGAAGCCCAGAAGGTGCTAGCACCATGTTCTCGAACTTCCAGAGCCATGACCTAAATAAATCTGATTCTTTATAAATTACCCAGTCTCAGGTATTATGTTATAGCATCAGATGGGCTGCCAACAATCAGGTAGTAATGGCTCCTCCAAACCAAAGATCTCCCAGGGCTGCTCATTCTAGGGCAGAATCAAGTCATCTTCTCCAGCTTGAGTTTCCAGAATGGACAATTCTTTCCCTAGGAGTCCCCAGGTAATAAGGTCCCCTCAACACATGAATCCACTTCACCCTTTACTACAGCTAGGATTTTCCTTATACGAGATGGATGTTCAAGACAAATTGGCTGGATTGATTCACCCAGCTAGGATACAAATTGTTCTCCTCCTGTTAGAAAAAATGCTCTTCTCACATAAATTTTCCTGCTCTGACGTATGTGACTATGGGAACTGTTCCTCTGAGTGTCAGGCCAGGTCTGAGAAGGTTCCCAAAGAGGGAGGTATATCCCTAGACTCAAGCTGCTCACTGTGTCCATGAGGCAGAGCTGAAATATGAAAATAAGCTGCAACAATTCAATGCCAAGTGTCCTGTTCCCATGGTCCATCACAGCTGAGTAGCAAGCTCAACAGGAATTGAGACAAGGAGGCAAGGGGTGGAGACACAAAGACTCTAAAACCGGCGTCTCCCACAGTTGCTGGGGCGAGTCTCTGGTTGGTCAGGAGGTCTGAGACCTCATGTTAACCAGCACTTCCAGGCAATTCTGCTGAGGAATAGGACAGGGTGACCAGGACACCTCCTAGTATCCAAATGCACAGTAGTGACCACATCTTGCACAGCCCATATATCTCTGGTGACCGTGAAGTTACAAGGCCTGTGTCTGTGTGTAACTACATGCAATAGTCTACCCTTCTATTTTGTTTATTTATTCATACCCCCATCTTTTCCCCCAAAAGGAGTCAGGGTGAAAACGAATATTTACAATTTTTAAAGCCAATGATGGATCTATTCCAGAGGGGTTGGCTGGAGTCTCTCACCAGAGGAACAGAAACATACCAGTACCCTGGGTCCCGTTTCCAGAGCTTGACACTGAGTAAATGTAGGCTGTCCTGTGTTCAGATGCCTGAGTAACTTGTCCTTGGAAAGGGGAATAAAGCTAAAGTTGAGAAATCCCTACACTCAAAATACTTAGTGTTCAGGGCACTGGAACACTATGTGATGGAGGGTTCACCGGGATCCCAAACCACAGGATCAGGGACTGCCAGTGCACTCTGAAGCTGTAGATGGTAAGAAAAATGTTCAAGACACTTGTTGATGCTCTCTCCTCTCTGGGGCTTGTCAGTGTTTCCAGAAGGGAAGGGACCATTTCTGATCACTCTCATGTGAATCAGCCAGCAAATCAAAATCACCCCTGCAAGCAAACACACACACACACACACACCCCTCCCAAGTGACCTCAAAGTTCAAGGAAAATGAAGTTTCTTTGTGGGAGGGAGCAGCTCGTCATTCCTGGTAGATGCCCATTCCTGATTCCTACTTAGGTGGATTTTATCCTTGGGCAGGTCCTCTTGGGCATCCTGGTCTGATTCCAAGAGATCACAATTAACAATCTGCTGGCAGAACTTCACCTTGACACTGGGCTTGACCCAGGGAGTACCTGGGGAGGTGTGAGGAAGCCATGCAGAGCAGCCACCACCCTTGACTCTTTGGGACTCTACTATGGCTGTCATGGAAACTGGATGCAGGAAGTCTTTGAAGCAGGTATAAAATTATTCAATACAAAACTCAGATTTTTTTTTTTTTTTTTTTGCTGCCAACATTTTGGGGTTTTTACTCTTCCTCTAAGTGCCCGCAATATGTACTCTCAAGATGGCCCCTGCAGTCTGCACCATGTGATCAGGCAGAAAATTCTCTGTGGGGATACTCGGGGTGCAGGAATGGAACACCCTACCTGCCTTGGTCTCCCCAGTGCCAAGGAGGATTCAGGCTGTGGAGGGCACTGTGGGACCCCTGAGGAAGGCCCTCTCAGCAGCAGGCAGTCAGGACCTTCCCCCTCAGTCCCTCCTGCCAGGGAGCCATGAGAGCCCAAGGCAACAGCAACTCTTCCTTTAACCTTTAGGCTCGGCATAGCGTAATGTCTACCTAGAGGCTGGAATAATAAAGCCTCAGTAGCTCAGACGGGAAGGGATGAGGTCATCCCACCCAGAGGCCCTGCCAGGGAAGGCTCGCTCCCTCCAACACATGTTCCTGGGCTCCCGCCTGTCCAATTTTCAGCAACTCCATTGATAGAGTCCCACCCCCACCCCCCACCTTCCTCCAGGCTGTCCTGCAGCAAGAAGCGGTTCTTCTTCCCAACCGCAGCCTCTAAGAGTTTCCTTCCATGCCAGAGTGATCAGCTGGCCCTTCCTGCTTCCTGTCCTGTCCTCTTCCTGGAAGACTATGGTACTGCTCTCCTCCCACCCATCAGGACCTCACATTGTTGAGCAGCCCTGACGGCCCACTGCTGGTCTACACCACCCATCCCATGCTGGGCCCCTGGCTGTGCGGCTAGGCTTAGATAGGCAGGGAGCGCTTCCTCAGGAGAGGCCCTCAGTGGCCCTGCCAAGCCATGACCCCATGGTCTGCCCTACGGGGCCTGAGGGTTCTGTCTCCATCCCCTTCCTTCCCAGCTAGCATGAGGCTCTGCTTCTGAACCCATTTGACCACCAGGCCCCCTCCTCAAGTAACAGAGCCCTCAGTTTACCTGTGAGGCTGGGTGGTGTTAGTGTCACACTTGGGAACCCAACACCTAGGTCAGGTCAAAGTCCAAGTGCTTTATACCAAGAACTTCTTAGCTTTGGGTCCATGTGGGGATCATGGGCCCATCTACGAACCTAAACAAAGCTATATATAGGCCTGTTTCTAGAAAAATGCCCCCCCCCACACAGAAGTCTGCAGATTTTAGGGGATCCATGGATTCCCCAATACCCATCCAAAGTCCACAGGCTTTGTAAAGAACCCTCGGTCTAGAGGAATGGAAATTCCAGCCATGGCTCCAGAAGAATATGTAAGCAGGTCTCTTCAGGAGGAAGATGGAAACAAAAGAGAGTACCTGGGAGGGGTTTGGGGGCAACTTCCATATTTCTAACAAAAACATTTTTAAAAAAAGAAAACTACTAAAGGCATCTGATTTAGAACTGTGAATCAAGTTCTGGCTTGACAATAGACATAAGTCACAAACAAGGTTGACAGCAGGGTACCTATCATAGTTTTTACAAGCTCCCGCTAAGACTGAAATCTTTCAAGAATCCTGCCTCTGCTAACCTACCAGATTCTGAGATTTTTCCTGGACAAGGGCTGGATAAGGATGGGGTGGAAAGGTCTCCCTAGATTCTCCAGAGTCTTTCAAGTCATTTGTGCTAGAGACTGTCCATCATAGACTCCCCACCATTTATACCCTGACCTCAAAGCCATACCCACTGATCAACCTAGATTTTTCAATTTTCTGGAAGTATCCTTCTAAAACATCTGCAGCGGATACTCGCAGCTTTAGGTTGACACTGGCACTGGGTAAACAGAATGCACAAGTTTCTTTGGCTATGGTGTGGAAAATACACCTAAATGATACCAAATTCCAGATTTGGGAAGACCATGGTTCAGGGCAACACCAGGGTCCACAGCCCCTGAGCTGTTTTAGTGACTCCTAAAAGGGATGGGGTAACTCACTTGAGCCAGGTCCCTCCCTGAATAGCCCCACTGAGCCTTCTCCCACTTACGGGGTGGCAGAAGCTGCACTGTCTCCCGCAGCACTTTCAGTTTTGTTTCTGCAGCCTCAGCCCTGCCAGGCCTTGGCTGCAACGCACAACTGAGGAGCCAGCCCCATTTACCACAACCTGCTCTGGCCAAGATCTGGGGCCCAGTTCTGCTGCCCTAAGCAATTTTCGAGAAGGTAAGGCAGAACGGCCAGGAGGCCCAGGCCAAGCCAAGCAGACCAACTGAGCCCCATCTGGAGTTGGGTCCAGGCCCCACCAGCTGTGTGGGTGGGGTTGGGAAATGCCAAGTCAGCCACATTCCAGCCTCTTCCTTGCAGAAGCCATCAACAGGCAGCTGAACTGGGCAGGAAGGATGAAGCCCAATAGAAGCAGTCTCTTCTTAGGGGGCCTCGGAGGGCCAGCAGGCTCTTGCAGCCTGTCTCTGCTCCTCTCCAGGTTGACTATGCCTGGGTCGGGTAGAGCAAGGGTGGGTTCCCCTGCCCCAGGACACTATGCCACCTGGGATCTCAAAAGTCTTCCTGTGGGACTAATAAAGGTTCAAGGGTGCCATGGCAAGGTTGTTTGAAGGAGGGAGCTTTGCCTTCTGGAGTCCTGGTGGGGAGGGGTGGATGGCAGGGGACTCGCTCAGTTATTCAACAAGTGTTCATTGAGGATGGATATCATCCAATGATATCTGTGGGCGCCCCTTCCCATGCACCAGCCACAGAAGTTTCCCCAAACACTCCATTCTACTTGGTCTATTTTTAAATGCGGGTGGCGCTGCTTTTCACCACTGAATCAGGCTAGGAGGCCAGAAAAGCAAGCTGACTCCTCCCTCTCTCCCACTCCCTGTATCCACTGAGTCTTGAATGTTCTCGATTTCGTTGCAAAAGCTTTAGTTAGTCATGCCTTTCCCCCCCACAGTCCTGCCCTCATAACTCTCTGCTGACAACTGCTATAACCTTCTCTTCTAAATCCTGCTTGCAAAGCACCGCTAGGATGATTATTCAAAAATGCCCATCTATTTCCATGGTCCCTGGCATGACTCACATAGCCCAGCACAACTAGGGCTCTGCCCAACTCTGCAGCCTCATCTCCTGCCCGTCCACACGCTGCCTCCCAAATAACCATGCTGCTTCTTACAATTCCATGTATCCCCTGTCATTCATCTCTTGCTACACATATGGTCCCCTCTTCTGCGATATCCTTACCCCTGGTCCATCCAGGCAAGAACGTTTCCCACTTAGAAGTGAGAATGTGGCTCAAATGCCACTTCCTATGTCTAACCAAAATCACCATGACAGGTGGTAGCTGGGGAACAAGATGTTCGTTTTTCTACACTGCCCCAGTATCTTCCTGTCACTTCTTCCCACTGTCTTCATCTGGGACTGTTTCCTGCTGGCCTCAGCTGGTGTCCAGTTTTAACTGCCAGACCCTGAGAAGATGCAGGAGGGACTAGATGTGGTTTCTTTAACCCCATGATTCCAACCCCAGCTCTGCCTAAATTCCAAACCCAAGGCCAAAACCCAGAAAGCCTATATTTCCTAATCTCTTAATCAGCCCTGTTCCAGATGTGCGTCTCAATCTCTACCTATCCCATGCTTCTCTCCTCCAGCAGAGGAGTGACTGACCAAGGTCTGTCTATATAATGCCCAAGTCCCTCAGACCCAGGCAGGTGCTATAGAGCCCTGGTTACAAAGCAGGCCCACAGAGAACTGGACAGCTGCATCTAGTCTTACATTTCATCTTGCAGTAGTTGGTGGACCCTCAAGGATCCGTCCCTCCATCTGTCTTTCCAGCTGTTCATTCATTGACACATATTACTGAGCACCTACGAGCACTAGGCACTATTCTAAGTGCTAGGAATAGAGTCGGGGGAAAAACAGCAAACACTCCTCTTGTAGAACTGCAGTTCTCATTGGGTGGCATGAGAGCCAGCAAAAAAAAAAAAAAAAAAATCAGATAATGATAAACACCAGGCTGAGAGTGCCAAAGGGGTGCAGGGACAGAGGATGAGTGGACAGCTCCTTTGGACGGGGCAGTCTCTCAGAAGGTGATGTTTAAATGGATACACAGGGGCCAGTCATGGGAAGAAGGACGATCCCACTCTAGACCGAAGGTCTGCTTGACCTGCCAAAGGAAGTGAGGAGGCTAAAACCTAGTGGTAGGAGGGAAGTAGTCCTGGAGGTGGGCCAGAGGCAGCCAGACCATCCTGCAGGGCCAGTTCAGGTCAGAGTTAGGGCTTATGGTATATGTAATGGGAAGTTCTGGGAGCGCTCTAAACCCAGAAACCTGTCACCCCTGGCCACCTACCTCCCTATACAACTGCTTCTCCCTGCCTTCCTTGATTTCTAAACTACTTCTTGGTCCTTCTTATTTGTCTGTTGATTAAAAGTCCAGCCTCAAGGTAACACAACTAGCAAAAGCAGTTCAAACCTTTTTCATGCCTATCGAAACCAAGCATAGTTAAGCTGACATGAGCTTCAAATGAAAAATGTGTTTGGGAAAGTTTTTTTTTTTTTTTTTAAACTTTTCCCAACTCTAAATTACACTTGAAAGTGGAGATAATAAAAAAAAGAAAAAGAAGAATCCTGTCTCTAAGGATCCACTGGTATTAAAACATTATATGTTTCAGTTTTCATTATCTTTAAAAATCCCTTTTACCTGTGATTTGAGGGTAAGACACCAATTCCCATTTTCCCTGTATTCCCTTTCCTGTGACTAAGACCATCAGTGCCCAAGGGCTGTGGCTTCTGGGGAGGCCAATGGGGCAGAGCTTGAAGTCTTGTCTTAAAGCAGACCTGCTGGACAGTACCCCAGGCTGCTGGTCAGAGCAGAGCCAGCAGAGAACTATGGGCGGGACCACCCAGACCTGGGGGAGTTTAAGCTCATGACTGCCCTTTCTTTTTTTCTTCTCTCTTCTAATGAACATAAATATAATAGCCCCCTTATGTACAGGGGATACATCCCAAGCACCACAGGGGACCCCTGAAACCACAGATAGTAAGGAGTCCTAGACTAGGTTTTCTTTTTTTTAAAACATACACATCCTCAATAAAGTCTAATTTATATATTAGGCACAGTAAGAGATTAGCAATAACTAAAAATAAAATAGAACATGCATAACAGTATACTGTGAGAAAAGTTATTTAAAACTTATGAATAGTCTATCGCTGGAACTTCCCATTTAATATTCACGTTGGAGCTGGTAATTGAAAACCTAGAAAGTGAAACCACAGATAAGAGAGGCTACTATATCTCTCGCTTGTTTTTGCGTGAAACAACAAGTGTATTTCCATACTTTAAACAGAAAACCTAAAGGCAGACAATACAGCCTTTTCAAAACTCACACCCCTCCCGCCTTCTTGGCAATCAGGGTGCATCCTCTGAGTCTTAGATACTGAATTACTGAGCATGGGCGGCCTCGGGGAAGCTCCCATCTGTGGGCCTGTCAGATGCTGTCTCCATGTTCTCAGATTCTGCTGTTCTCCTCCTAAGGGAGGCCTGGCCCACATCCCCAGGGTGAGTGGAGACAAAGCCACAGCCAGAGACCAGCTCAGAGCTCACAGGAGCATGGGGTGCCCCACAAGCACTTCCCAAGAGTGACAACCTGTGCCTTTGCTTGTTCCCACCTCCACTTTCCTCTTTATTTTTAAATTTTATTTTATCATAGAACACTTACCATAAGATCTGTCCTCTTAACAAAAATTTAAGTGCATAACTCAGTTCTGTTAACTAGAAGGACGATGCTATAAAGCGTATTCCTAGAATTAATTCATCTTGCTTGGCTGAAACTTGATACCCTTTGATTAAAATCTCCCCATTTCTCTCTCCCCATGGCCCTTGGCAAATACCATTCTACTCTTCTGACTCTGCAGGACTATTTCAGATGGCTCCTGTGAATGGACTGCTTCTGTGACTTGCTTATTTCCCTTCGCATAATTTCCTCAATGTAACAGGATTTTTTTTAAAGACTAATTAATAGTCCAATCTATGCACACACCACGTTTTGTTTATCTGTTTGCCTCTGGGCGGCATTAGCTTATTTGTGGCCATCATTTTGATGTGTCATAAAATTGGGTATTCAGGCTGCCATCGGCTCCTTCAGGAGGCGGAACCATTGATGGCTATGCATGCAGTCCTCGATCCGTATTCTAAATACATCCCAAATATCCCTGCTCATCATCACTTCCATACATGCCCATTCCACAGGGCCCAAGGGCCTAGGCCTGTCCTCTAGTGTCACTCCTTACTATCCTAGCAGCTCCACTTCTGAGAAGAAGCTGGGAACCAGCTCCCATCCTTGATGGACCATGTAAGCTCAGAAGCAGGCTGCCAAGCCCATGGTACCTCTTCTGCTATTGTAAGGAGGCTCAACACCTCGGTTCTCCCTTCCTTTGCTACCCTCTGGCCCCTACTATGCCTCCTGCTCTGGCTGCATAACTGGAAGTTTTACTTTGCATGTCTCACAGGTCCTTTGAAATCTGGTTTCTTCATCTTCCATCTTACCCTGGTCACTCTTTCCTCCTCCTCCTCCTCCACCACCACCACCACCTGGGGCCAGCCATAATGAACATATACTTTACTGGAGTTACAATATTCTTTTCCTCCTTCCTAGAATGGCTTTCTTCCTCCTTTGACTGGCTAAGTCCTACCTGTCCTTCAAAAACAGTTCAGTGATCACCTCCTCCAGGAAGCCTGCTCTGACTCCTTCACGCTGAGTTACACAACCCTTCTCCATGTAGCACTTACCACATGGTTTGTAAGCCTCTGTCTATGGTCGAGTATCCCTACCAGGCTGCATTCTTTGAGGGCAGGGACCTGCCTCCATATTCCTGGAGACTTAGTCCCTAGCCCAAGGTTTACCATGTCATCTGTGCTCAAAAGGCCTTCAGTAAAAGCATGGATGTGTGTTCTGGTCTACTGACTCTGTGGACCCCTGGGAGCTCCAGGGCTGCTGGTTAACTAGGCCTCCCATCAGCTCTGCCACAGCTACCATATTACCTCCTGGACCAAGTGGGATGTGGCTATGGGAGTAGCCAGTTCCACTGCCCAGATTTCCCTGGAATGCAATGGATCCTGCCTTCTCGGAGAAAAACAAGGTCACAAAGTACTTTGTGCTCCTTCTCTGCCCTCCTGGAGCTCCCTGTTCTCATCAGGAGTCCAGCACTCTTCTTGTCATTTAAGACTCTCTCTCCTTTGCTTCCCCTTCCGAGATTAAATAGCTAGAAGTTTCCAGACAACCCTGTAAACTAGGCAACTAAAAGCAAGAGACACACAGCTCAAAATAGGGATGATTGAAGGGCAGGGAGATTTGGGGAAGAAAGTGGAAAAGTCAGGGACATATGGTTTCAGGAAGAAGATAGGTTTCCAATCCCTTCTCTGCCCATCTTCCCGCCCTTCCAGCCTCCCACGGCATCTGGAGAGTCCTAGGCCCCACACTCCCTATTGGGCCTGAGTCCTGCTCACATTCTCACCTCCCACCTCCAGTGGGTGCTGCTGAGTTAATGGCCTGAACCATGTCGGTGGTGAGGGCATCCAGGAGGCTGGTGATAAATTCCATTTTCTTCCCTTCTGGACAACCTAAAAGATAAAGTGAGATCTGAAGGCAGATGCCAGGTAAGTAATCAAGTAAACAGCTTTCCCCACTACCATCCTTTCCCAAACTTTGTAAAGTCCTTATTGTCCAGCCAAATCCACTTTGGGGATGTGTTTACTGCTCGGCTGATTTTCATAAACCTCCATCATTTACTCACAGTCCACAGGGACAATAATGCTTTCAATGATCACTCCATCACTGAGCACCAACCCAGGCACTGTGTTAAATTCTAGGGAGACAAAGCAAAGGATCCTCATGCTCATGGAACTCACAAAATACTGAGCTAATATAGTCAAGCCAATGGCCAGGCAGTCATTCCTAAAATAGTAAAAACGCTGCTCCAGGGGGTAAGGACCAGACGCTGTGGGAGCAGGAGGAGGAGAGAGAAGCCCTATGGGTCCTAGTTGACTTAAGTCCACCAATTGTTTTATCTATCCAAGAACCTCCTCCTTTTTCTCACTTTCCTCCTCAACCAGCTGAGATTCTATCATAGACTCACCTTGTCAATACTCCCCTCGTATTCCTGCCAAACCCCAGTGCAGGTGGGGTATGCTCCCAGGTATGGCTGGGCCATATCAACACCCACTAGCAGGGTACTACTGGGGAAAACACCATCATGCAACTGCAGAGGTGGGAGTCCCTATAAGTGTTCAACAGCACCCAGTGGGCCCTCCACATAGCCACAGCCCCTCTCTCTGCAGCAAATACTTCCTCTCTCCAAACCCGCCAGGTCTTGGGTTAACTGCTACTTCTCAGAGCATCTGAGCTCCCCCTGACATTCTCATAGCATCTTGTTCTTTTCCTGCATGATTACTACCGATGCATGCCGTCCTTCAGCTGTACGTGATCTGTCTCCTCCATTCTCTAAGCCTCCTGTCAATTTTGAACACTAGATTATATCTAGTGCCTGGCACAAAGTAGAATCCCAATTCTCATATGTTGAGGGAATGGCCAGGAGGCATCTCGGCCTCCATGACTCCACTTTGGTGACAAAATGATTTCTATAAACTTCATGTGGGAAGCTCCTGACTTTCAGGACTTTTCTGCTTTCAGTTCTTACTCTGGAGTCCCAATGGGTCAGGGGAAGGTGGCCCCAGTTCCACCAGCACCAATATGCCTTTGTGCTAAGTAAAAACTATGGGATTCCAAAGCCCAGATCTTTGCAATCTTAATGTAACTCACAATCAAAATTTACTATAAATAAGCAGAAACCCAGGACAGCAGCCCCTTCAGGGTCCTGAGCCACTGCCTATCTTTCACCCACCACAACCTCCCCACCATAGCCATCCTGCGTCCCCAGGGATCATCATGAAAGCACATTGCAAGGTAGGTGACAGGTGCTGTCCAGACCGCTCTAGAGAGCCCCTCCCTGTAAGCCACCTTCTCTTCAAGGCCCTGGGAAAAAATAGTTCACAGCCTGTAAAACATTGCCCCCAGTCACACTGGGATATAGAAAAGACTGTGGAATCCCAGGGATAGGATTTTAACTCAAGAGCCACATTTTAAAGACACAGGAGCAAGAGCAAGGAGAAAAAGCAATGTATTCAAGGCACAGGACTAATTAGAGACCGATCCCAGACTGGGGTGAGATTCCATAGCTCCTGGCTCCTGGCTCTGTGCCCCAGCAATGTACCAGATGAGCATCTCCTGTGCTGCAGAACAGAGGGGGAAACAGAGGAGGAGCTGCGTGTGCATGCTGAGGGGTGGAAGAACAGAAAAGAGAGCCAGGCACAGGGGTGCACACCTATAAACCCAGTGATTGGGCAGCTGAAGAAGGAAAATTGCAAGTTCACTGCCTGCCTCAGCAACTTAGTGAGGTGCTAGGTAACTTAGCGAGA